GCCGGACCGCGCGCCAACTCGAGGACCGCCGCTCCGGCGGACCGTTGTTTCTGGCCGCCGTCCGCCTCTGGTGCCCCGTCCATTCGCCACCAGTCACGCACCAGGTAGGAACTCAAGCTCCCTGCCTCTACATGTTCCCAGGTACGGCAGATCTTCATCCCCTTTTTTTCTAATCTATATATCAGATATGGTGGTGTGTGGCATTTTTAGCTTGGCAGCTGTAGATGGGATCATTTCAAAAGATTCTTGGACACCCCTTTTAGTTGTCATCCCTGGATTAACCAGTGATTCTGATGCTGCTGTTAGTCTCTAACCTTTTTCTGATGTTGACTTATACAGTTATACCTGCGTTGCATATTTGAAGAGATCTAAGGTTCATGATTGGACGACATATTACTATATTTGTAACCATTCTGAAGATTTAATTGGCTATTGCAGTATGCAGAACACTTGGTTCATTCCATAGCAAGAAAATGGTGGAATGTTGTTGTAAGTAACCACAGGGATCTCGGTGGTGTGTCCATTATAGTAAGTTCAGTTATATAATTTACATTTCCAGCTGTTAATATTTCACTCCACAATCTCCCTGTACAGATAAAAGGTCGCCTCCCTGCTTGTCACCGCGCCATGCCGCCTCACCCCGGATAGTGGCCATTGCTCCGCCCGCGGCGCCTTCCAGCCAAGAATGCCATCTCCACCCGTCCAGGTTCACCCTCTCTCTCTCTCTCTCTGATGAACACATCATTTTATTCTGACTGGATGCTAGAGGTATGTGATGATGCAGCAAATTATGTGTGTGTGCTTGCAGGTAACTCAGCCGACTGGCCTTTTCACGATTTAAAACAAAATGGTGTGCTGAAGAGAGACACCTTACTTTGGATAGAGATTAAAATGGAATCTGCTTGGACTATGCTTTCCCATACAGGTTTGATTCGTATATACATCTCAAGTTGGCTATATCTGGATGGGTTGCAGTTTGCTTCTTTCAAAAAGACGAGGTGTTCTGGAATGATTTGCTTATCTGCTTTATGCATGATCATCCATTTTATAGATTATATAGGGTGTTGGTATCTTTCTGTACACTGGCATGATCTCTAAAACAAGTCTCAGGCCATAGATAGGATTGTCATCATGTATGTTATTTAGTTATATAGAAAAACAAATCACATAACTGCACAACACAGAACAGTACTGCTTCTGAACTGATGTTGCCATTGATAAGGTTACTAATGTTAGTTGGTGTCGGCTCTAGGGTGTATAGTTTACACTCTATGAATCATGTCAAGGTTCTGTAGAAATCGGTTATGTGTTTCAACATTTTACAATGTTAGTCGTTTATCTATTATGTTCTACTCCCTCCGTTCCTAAATATAAGTCCATTTGGAGATTTCAATATGGACTATATACGGAGCAAAATGGATGAATCTACACTCTAAAGTAAGTCTATATACATCCGTATGTAGTGTGTATTGAAATCTCTAAAAAGACCTATATTTAGAAACGGAGGGAGGGATTTGTATCTGTGGGTTTCTCAAAATAATTGTATGTACTGGGAGAGGAGGTTTCCACGACTATTGATCATTGATCAGTTAGAACTTCTGCTGAAGAAAGGTGCCCTTTGGTTAACATTTCTGATATATATAACATACGACGTTGGAATTTCCATTGAAATTTTGAAGGAAAGTACATCAATAGAATGGCCTTTCTTCCGGTGGCCACCCCCTCCCGCCTTTCTGTTGCGTATATTCATTTTGGATATTGACCATGGTTGCATAAATTTAAGTTGCTTGTGATCTTCTGTCTATTTCCTGTTAATTATAAATAATCAGAACCATCTCTGGTCAGTACACCATAGCACAATACCACACGGATGCTTGGTAGTGCTTTTCATAAATTGGTAGTTTTTGCTTTGGTGGAGAGCTTTTGACGAATTACTGGGTATGCAAATCTTGGTTTGATCCGTCTACTAATTTATACTCTAATGACATGGAAGTCGATGGCGTGAAATGCCTAGCTGTTGACATCCCCCCTCAGAGTTTTCTAGAGAGGTGAGCAATTTATAATAACAAAAACATAAACTATTTTTGTTGCAGTTCTAGTTTGTTGAAATGAGATGGCTCTTGTTCCATTGGACTCAAACTCTGTTACAAGATTCCCCTTGCATAAATTTTTGAAGGAAGAGTGAATTTCGTCATGAACTTGACTGAACCAAACTTCTGATCATGTCATTCCACTCCTTTCATTATGCTATTTGAAGGTTTTGTGTCGAGTCATTGACATGTAATGTTTTAGACATAATGGATGAAATCATGTTAATTCTAGCTCTGGTTCTTATGTAGTGATGCATGCCGCTCACCTTTATGTTTTCCATTATTTTGCAGAGAATGTGTACATGCAAATTTTATTCATAGTGAACCTACGTGGTAGTTTTTGTTCTGAATATATGCGTTCTACTCTGCTTGCATCAGGCCAGTTCATGCTTCCGAATTTGTGGTTTTGATCAGTGGCAAGCATGTACATAGCTGCAGCAGAATTCATTAGATTAGACACGGTTACCAGTTTGTGGATAGGTTGTAATATCTTTTATCTTATCAATATATTTGATGTTCGTTCGTGTAGCCTTTGGTTTCTATATATTGATTCAGTGTTGTACCCATGCTGACAATTCACGTACCATTTCTGGCTAAAAAGGAAGGGAAACAAGCTTGCCATTAATTAATGTAGTAATTTGACTAGGTAATGGTTTGTGGAAGGGATTAAGATGTGCAGACAACGTGGCTGCTCAGAGTAACTGTCCCAGGGCGGTTGACAACCAGGCAGCAGCGCAGAGAAATTGTCTCAGGATAGCATGTTTGAGTAAGTTTTTTCATAGTTTTCTCAAACACTTGTCTGCCATTATTTTAGAAGTAAGAGTGTTGATTTTGTTACCTCCTGTTCTTATGAAAAAATAGTAAAATCCTGAGAATTATTCCTGGTCTTAATACATCATTTCGTTTACTGGTTTTGGGTCTGTTATGGGTGTTGGAGGAGATAGATCAGGCAGAACTACAACCCGAGGTTGTGCAGGTTTGGTATACCTCTTGCCAAGGTTATATCATTTAAAGTTTGGCGAAAGACAAAAATATATAATAGGCAAATAAAGCTTAGTTCATCACTAAAATAATTATGAATATCAATGCAGTAAAGCTATGATGTATGCTGTCAATAACATTTTATAACTCTTTGGTAACATCACTGAAACTATTGATTTGTCTTCTCTAATTTATTACAGTTAGCTTTGTTTTAGGTTGGGTGTTAATAGAAAACATTCATTATTTGCATCAGCTATAAGTTGACATTATGCAAATGACAATAACAAAAATAGTATGACACAAATTCAGGTGATGACCAACTAAGGAGAGGTTGATGAGATCAATGACACGAGAGGGGTGGACAGGCAGCTGCAAAGGATCCGAGGAGCAGCCGGTGAACAAGAGGAGCAAAGACAACATCTCTTGCGTCACTATAAACATCTGCTGCTAGCAGAGCTTCAGCCGGTGAACAGGAGGAGCTTCAGCTCCGTCGTCGTAAACTTCAAATGTTGGCCGAGCTTCAAACCTCTAGCCTGTCAAGTGTACAATTGGTCCAATAGCTCTAGTTGGATGGCATTTTTCTTTCTCCCTTATCCAAGCTATTTTCGTCCATCCGAACATATGGGGAGGAAATAGGAGTTGCGGTAATTGACGTCTGAGCTCATGCTCATCTACCCGTTGAAACTAAATTTAAAAATATTTAAAAGATAAAAACGTGTATTTTTTGACATTAAAGATGGCCAGTTGTGCAAAAATTTATGATGTTTGGACATTTAAGGACCTGCAAAAAAAAACCAAATCAGGTCTAAATAGTGTTCATTTTCTAAGTTTTTTTCACGGTCAATTTTTTTTTGTCACGACATCCTAGAATGTCCAAACACCACGAATGTTGCCAACCACATCACACGCTAGAGCATCTTTAGATGCCAAAAAAAAATCAATTTTCTTTTTTGCAATTTTATTTGATTTTACTGTTCGCCACACTTGTCGAACCGGAGATGCTCTTAGATTTAGTTGGGGTGAGAGGAGATGAGGCCAATTTCAACAAGCGGATGCAGATTTGATTTTGGGTTTTTCAGTCGGCTTAGAATCCAAATCGGACGGGCGTTTGGAGTTGGCCTTACGGTGTGACCTCAGCCGTCTGATCTTGACGCTCCTGCTCCCCTCCGCATCCGACAGCGGACTCACCGCCGTCGTCCGCTGCCTTCCTTCCCGGCGTCCAACGCCTCCACCAGTCCCCTCGCCGAATCAACGAGCGGTCGCCGCCTCCCGAGTCCGGGCGGGTCGCCGCACCGCGCTGACGACGCCACCACCGGCAGCCACCTACCCACCGTCGCCGCGCCTCCCCGGGGGTTCCTTCTTTCCGGGCCCGCAGCCGCAGCTCGTCGGATTCGCTCCGCAGTTCAGTTAGCGGGGCTAGCCCTCGCTGCTGCGGCGGCGGCTCCCTATGGGGAGCTTCGCCGTCATCTCCCAGCATCCGGTAAGTCCAGTCCTCCAGCAGATTCCCAATCCGCCACGCTCCAGTCAACCAAGCATTTTCAATCATCGAGCATGATAGCACAACGCTGACTGAAAAATTGCAATGCAGCATCATTCTTTTCTGAAGAGGAAGAAGGGATGCACGAGCGAGCCGTTTGGATTTGGGTGGACGAACATGACGTTTGTTTGAAGGGATCTCACCGCTCCCTTGTGCTGTTTGCAGTCCTCTGCACCTACCACAGCTCCACCGGTCGCAGTCTGCAGCAGTCCACGCGTTCTCATTCAGAGGTCTTTGTTTCCCTTACACACACGTTCACATTGGCCTGCCGTGTCCAGTCAAGCATGCCTTGGCGTCCATGTCTGGTACACAAATCCTTCAAAGGTCATCTTCACCCAAGATCATCCAACCTCAAACCTTAGCACTCCCTGTTGTTCTTTCACATCGACATCATGCCTTCAGTCTTGCGTATGCTCTGTATTTTGCTCAGCCTTCTCTGTTTCAACACCTCAATACTAGCTGCAGCACAAGCAAACATGTCTGAGATCGATCGCCATGCCCTCCTTTGCTTCAAGTCAGGCATCAACTCTGATCCCCTTGGCATCCTACACTCATGGGGCAATGGCTCGCTTGACTTTTGCAGCTGGAAAGGGGTCGCCTGCGGCACCAAGTTTCCACCCCGGGTGGTCTCTCTTAACCTCACCGCTGCTCGTCTCGGTGGGCAGTTATCTGGATGCGTGGGCAACCTGACATTTCTTTCTCGGATGAACCTTGCTGATAATCATCTGTCAGGAACCATCCCCGAAGAGTTGGGTAAGCTTCCAAACCTTCATACACTGATTCTTGCAGGCAGCAATCTGGAAGGTAACATCCCTGATTCACTAGGCGCTAGCAGTTTTCTTAGCTATGTCGACCTTGCAAACAACACACTTACTGGCAAAATCCCTCTCTCATTAGCCAGTAGCTCCTCACTCAGCAAACTTATACTGTCACGTAATAGCCTCTCAGGAGAGATCCCTTCTACTTTGTTTGGTAATTCATCCAAGCTTACCGTCGTTGATCTCCAGATGAATTTTTTCACTGGTCCCATCCCACATTTCCATAAGGTCACAACACTCAAATTTCTTCGTCTGACAGACAACTTCCTCTCTGGGAGCATACCTCCTTCAATAGGAAATGTTTCTTCCCTCACTTCTATATTGCTCGGCCGAAATAGGTTATCGGGATTAATTCCAGAGACTTTGAGTCACATTACAAAACTGCTTGAGCTTGATCTAAGTTTCAACAGCTTATCAGGGAGCGTCCCGTTGTCTTTTTACAACATGACATCACTTGAATTCTTTAATGTGTGCAGCAATGCCCTTGTTGGACAGATGCCATCTCACATTGGTTTCTCACTACCAAACCTCCAGTTCCTTATCATGGGAAGCAACAGGTTGGAGGGCCTGATCCCTGCTTCACTATCCAACATGTTAAATCTCCAAACACTTGATCTTTCAAACAACTCGTTACATGGCTCTGTGCCATCTCTTGGTTCTTTGGCAAACTTGGGTCGGTTGGATTTAGGAATGAACTTTCTAGAAGCACATAACTGGTCATTTCTTACATCTCTAGCAAATTGCACCCAGCTGACAAAGTTGTCCTTGGAAGGGAATGTTCTAAATGGCAGCCTACCTATATCAATTATTAATCTTTCCAGGAGACTAGAACATTTATCGCTTGGGTCAAACCAAATTTCGGGCTCCATACCTGTTGAGATTAGCAATCTTGTTAATCTCACTTTGCTTGGGATGGAAAGCAATTTTCTTTCTGGAAGCATACCTTCTACCATTGGCAAGCTACGAAACCTATATGTCCTAAATCTGTCAAAGAACAAATTATCAGGTCAGATCCCCCCCTCAATTGGTGACATTACTCAACTGGGCAAGCTTTATCTTGATGATAACAACTTGAGTGGAAACATACCTGGTAGTTTAGGTCAGTGCCCGGGGCTTCTTGAACTAAACTTGTCTCGAAATAGTCTTGATGGCTCAGTACCATCCGAATTGTTTGCTAGTCCTCCACTCTCCTTGGGTCTGGACTTCTCACACAACAGTCTCACAGGGGAACTACCATTGGTAGTTGGTACACATAGCAGTGGTGGTCCAGTATCCCTTCACATGGAAGGAAACAAGTTTCATGGACAGATTCCAGAAAGATGGCATCTACTAGTATCAACCCAACATATTAATCTTTCTCATAATGACTTATCTGGTGCCGTGCCTGAATTCTTTGAGCGATTTGATATGCTGAAGCAACTTGATCTGTCTTACAATAACTTGGAAGGGTCTGTTCCTACTAGTGGGATCTTTAAGAAATATGCTGCAGTAGTTCTGGGTGGCAACAAGGGACTCTGTTTAAATTCCTCCAAGTTGATAAAAATAAGAAATTCCTTTAGGCCAGCATTACCAGTTTGTCCTCGCATCTCAGCTTCAGTGACTAAATCAAAACACCATCTGTCATTGCTGACGACCTCGCTGCTAATTGTACTACCAACACTTAGTATTGGTTCCATGGTGTTGTTATGGTTTCTGCTCACTCTTTGGAAGAAAGGGTTGTTTTCGTTTTCACGATGGGATCTTGTGTCCAAGGTGTTTCCTAATAGAAGAGAAGTGCATACAGCCCCGTGCCATGATGATAAGAAGCTGAAGAGAGTGTCATACCAGGACATTCTTAAAGCTACCAACTGGTTTTCTTCGGTCCATACTATCAGCACAACCTGTACTGGTTCAGTTTATGTTGGTAGGTTCAAGTCCGACAGGAGCCTAGTTGCCATCAAAGTATTCAACTTGAGTGAACCTGGTGGATATGATAGTTACCTCATTGAGTGTGAAGTGCTACGAAGCACCCGCCATAGAAATATAATGCGACCTGTGACCCTATGCTCAACATTGGATTCACAAAACCATGAGTTCAAAGCACTAATCTTCGAGTTCATGGTTAATGGCAGCCTAGAGAAATGGTTGCATTCTGACCAACACAATGGAATCACAGATAAAGGGCTAAGCTTTGGCCAGAGGATATGCATAGCAGCAGATGTGGCTTCTGCTCTTGATTATGCCCACAACGAACTGACACCTCCTCTGATCCATTGTGATTTGAAGCCAAACAATGTCCTTTTGGATGATGACATGACTGCGCGGCTCAGTGACTTTGGCTCAGCGAAGTTTCTATCACCAGGTCTGCTAATTCCTAAAAGCCTGGATGATGTTGGAGGGACAATTGGATACCTGGCACCTGGTGAGTTTTACCTTTTCTGTTTCCACTTAATTATAGTTTGTATCATATGTGTGTGTATTATCTAAACACATTACATCTTCACAGAGTATGGAATGGGTTGCGAGATCTCTGTAGACGGCGATGTGTATAGTTTTGGAGTGCTTCTACTGGAATTGCTTACTGGAAAACGACCTACTGATGATATGTTTGTCGATGGACTTAGCCTTTGTAAGTTCTGTGAATCTATGTTACCCGACAGAGTTGCAGAGATTCTTGATCCTCATATGGCGCATGAGGAGCATCAAGGGTGCGCAGAAGGATGGATTCAGAGATATATTGTCCCCTTGGTTGCCCTTGGGCTGTCATGTACCGTGGAATCTCCAAAGGATAGGCCCGGAATGAAAGACGTTTGTGCAAAACTTTCTGACATTAGAGCCTCTTTTCTTTAACTGTCATGATGATTAATGAATATATCAATTATGTTAGAGCATACTGATTCATTGTATTAAGAATGTGTTTTTTTACTGGTACAGTGCATATTGTACCCAATCTATTTGACAATCTGAAACAAACTGTGGAGACAGAGATGTGATTTGCAGTTAGTCATAGTAGGATATTGGAAATATCAACCATTCTTTGTTCCAGATTTGTTGATTATTTTTAATTTTGATATTGACGTGTATGTATTGTCAAATTCTTGCACTAATTTATTTGCAAAGGGTGTATGTAAAGGTGTTTTCCGATGAAGTGATATGTTTAATTTACAGCCTGATGGGTAATATTCGAATGATATGTCTTAAGGTATTGCATCCTGCATCAGTAGCCAATTATAAAGTAAAGGGCAGCCCCAGTGCATGTAGCTCCCGCTTGTGCAGGGTCTGGGGAAGGGTCCGACCACTTTGGGTCTATTGTACGCAGCCTTTCCCTACATTTCTGCAAGAGGCTGTTTCCAGGACTTGAACCCGTGACCTCATGGTCACAAGGCAACAGCTTTACCACTGCGCCAAGGCTCCCCTTCAGTAGCCAATTATAAAGTAAAGAAAGATATTCATATGACATAACGAACAATCCTCTTTTGCTCTCAAACTGTTATCTCCTTGCATGAATGAGGTTGCATATGCTTGAGTTGTCCATGGCCCATTATTGTTAAATGTTGAAAGGAATGAAATTCCTGAATAAGTTTTTTACGTCAGGAGAGGAACACTAAAGAGGCCCATGATGGTGTTACTTGAAAGGGATGAAATTACTGAATAGGTAGACAAGTATGGGCAAGACAAATAAAACTTCTTTTTTTTAGGTGGAGATGACAACAAAGACTGTTGAAAAAAAAAGATAGTAACATAAATTAATACTGTATGATCCATCATTGCACTGCCAAGGCATTCATTTAAGTCAATCTTGAGTCTCCATGACATTGTTCTTCGGTAGGCGAAGTGTGAGTGTGTGCACTTATACTCGCTATTTTTCAA